TAGTGTTGTTGAGGCTGGTAGGCGCCGAAATTCTGATTGCTCTGGAATCTATTATCCTTGATTGTGCCGTTGAGATATGCATCCTTGTTGGCCATAATATGAGCCCTGAGGTTGCCCTCGTACCCGTTGGTGAAGCCTCCCCAAGGAGCATATGGCGTCCGGTACTTAGTCGAGTCCCTACAGAGGTTAGCAAAGGACGAATTTGTTGAGTCGATAACACGTACCTGTTGTGGTTGACCTGGAAAAAGGGATACTTTTGGAATATAGATACATCTGCCTGCGAAGCCACTCTTGCTTGTGGTATCTGGTGGTGGTTTACAGGTGCCGGAGCCTGATATGGTTGCGGATAGGAATGAGCTACTCCAGGATGACTAGGGGTAGGTGCAGGAAGGGCAGAGGTATGTCTTCCGTGCCATTGGTTCTGCTGATAATGTGGCAATGTGTTCGCAGGACTCTGTACCATGGGTGTGTTTCCGGGAGGTGTATATGCGGGCGATTGCCTAACCTCAAACCTTTGCGCAGAGTAGGCGGGAGCGGCTTGTTGTCCTGCAGGTATAGGGTGTGCATACGGATACCGATAGTTCCCGGGCTGTTGCTGGACTGGAACGGGCGAAGGGGCAGCTGGTGTGAATCTTTGAGTGGTGAAGTTGCCCATCGCAGGGTAGTTGTTAGTAGCAGGGGTTCGTGGCTTGTACATATATGGCTTATCAAGTCGCGCTGCAGGATAAGGGATGGCGGGCTGGTAGGCTTGTCGGGGAGGATATGCTGGAACCGGCCTTGCGGGTTTGACGGGTTTGGGAACTGTCGATAGGAAATTCCCCCTGGGATTATGACGTTGGTTGCGAGGATCCTCGGTGAATTGGGCGCGGGCTTCTGTCGATTTCTTAGGCAAGTAATACCAAATTTGGTCGGGTTTGCAGAAATCGATCTTGACTTGTTCTTTGTTTGCAACAGGGTGGCAGTTGAATTCGGCCCAAGTGCAGCCTTCAACGAACGGATCGTCCTTCTGGGGCTTGCCGTCATGAAGTCGTTTTGTTTTGAGCTTCTCCTTGGCCTTCTGGGACGCGGGCATCGGAATGGCCTTTGCTGATGCCTTTGGCAGACGATAGTCGGCTGGATCGGGTACCAGTAGCCATTTCCATTCGACTTCAAGGCGGTCACTGCAAGCGGTTAGTTTAGATTTGACGAGATCGAGTTTCTGATGTATTCGAGCATACCCATTTGGCAAGATGTCGATAAGCAAGGTTTGTTCATCGTGCCGGTTTTCAACCACAACACCAGCAAAGATGTCTCCCTTGAAATACTGCAACTGGCAGGTCTCGCCAGGCTGAAGCTTTGAAGCTGCCGTCCGAACTCGTGAGTCAGTGTCCAACGCATCTCCATCAAGCTTCTTATCTCGCTTCGTCCGATGGTATCGACAACTGAACTCAAAGGCCTGTTCCTTATATTCTGTGCCATCTTCGCCGAAGACTGGGATCTCTTCTTCTTCAACGAAAACACCAGCTGCGGCCGCGCATGTTGCATGATAAGCCCGAGCGCATCTCTTTTGGGAGCATTGAAAGCAAGCGCCTTGTTTAGAGCGGCAATAAAGACACTTGAGTTCGAATCGATCTTTGTGGATTTTAGACACGTTGACAACTGTCTCCTGTCCATCGATTGTTTCGGTATACGTCTCTGGCAGATAATGCGCGCAAAGTCGATGAGCTTTTCGGCCATCATCTGTGGGCAATAGATCGGCCGACGGAGTGTCGTTGGGGCAGAGGCAGCAGGGTGGTTCGACCTTCGATTTGAGACGAAGCCTGATCTTCTTGACCTTGCCTCCCTTCTCGCCAGGAACACGCTTTCGCTTACGGCCAGCCAGTCTGAACTTGACACCAGAGCCAGAAGGTGGTGTGGGCATGCCACCTTGTTCATCTTCGTCATCTTCCTCTTCGTCCTCGGTTTCTTCATATTCTGTTTCTTCTCCACGTAACTTGCGCTCGATGTCGTAGACATTAATCCAGACACTGTCTTGCGCTTCAGCGCACTCGCACTTTTTGGCGATTTTGCCGATGTCTAACCAAGAATCGAGTGCAAAATTGACAGCTTCGGCACAGTTGTAGCCCAGGTTGTAGCCAGAATGGTATCCATATGGATAGGTCACGACGAACTCTCCAGGGTAAGATACGCATTTGTTGACAGTGATGTTATAATGCGATTTTAAATGTTGAGGCGAGATGAGGAATCCTTTGTGACGAAGAAACTGGTCACAGGCCTTCGCATCTGTAGGCCAGATATTTTTCATCGCAGCCTCGAACCGGCGGGCATCGGCTTGGGAGATACTATACCACTGCTTGGGAGCACCAAAGTGAAGATAGTTAATACTGTAAAGATCAACATCTTCAAGGTGCCAAGCAAAAGTTGCTTTCCACATGCCAAGGTAGAGATAAGCGGTGTTGACTCCTGGAACCTTTTCACCCAAGACATCCAAAAGATTAGGCAGCTTGTTCAAATTCCACTGTTCGGTCGATTCGTCAAAAAGCGTACCCATCAGATCAGCGCCGTAGAGGGGAGGTGCGTAGGTGAGGGTCTTCCAGTAAGCCCTCTCAAGCTCCTCACAGCGCTCGGGTGTATACTCGGATATGTCCATCTTGTAATCCCAGTCTTTAAAGGCAGCTTCGTCGATCATAGCGGATCCCTCTCGGCGACTGTATTTGCGACGGGCCGAGACTGTTTGTGTCTTGGTTCTTGCCTGTCGAAGGCCACCCATGCGACCAACAGTAGGTTCATAATCCTCCTCAACCTCTTCACCTGGGTCCTTCTCTACTGACTCGACAGGTTTGTCCTCAGTCTCGGCAACCTCTGGCTTGGGTGAGACCGGAGTCATAGGCCGGTCTTCATTATCATCCGCCTGTTCTTGCTTGAGCCGCCTCCCCCTGCCTCCTCGCTTGGCAGGTCGCCCCCTACCTCTCTTCCTAGGGGTCGAAGGTTCGGAAGGTTTAGCCACAGTTGCGGTCGCAGCTCGAGTTCGTGCTTTAGGCTTCTCGGCGTTGGCGCGTCGCTCACCACGTCTAGCCGGGGGCTGGTGTTCGCTCTGGTCGCACAGCTGGCGCCACTGGGGCAGATTATAGGATCGTCCGTGAAGGATGTTGACTTGGCGATAGGTTCCATTGGATCCCATGATATCTTGCTTGATTGGCTCTCGAACTTTAACCTGCTTCACAAGGTCGTCGAGTTTGGGAAGGGCATCTTTCCATTCTTGTGGGGGGATGACTTTAATGATGCCGGATTTCATTCCATAGCTATCGACGGCTTCCATCTGGAGGATACATTAGCGACGGACACGGGGTAACTTGTAGTCGACGTACGAAGCGCTTAAAATCCTTGAACTGGTGCATGGTGGGCTTGAAGATAGGAACAGCACCAGACCAAGAATCCGGCAGGACCTCTCCAATGTCAACCTCTTCGTCAGCATCTTCCTTCTTATCGTCGCTGTTTACATTGTCGCTAGGAAGAACAGGCTGCGGTGGATCGCTCAGGATGGGTTCGTCTTCAAGATCGCTCAACTCAGAATCTGAACCATCAGACTTGGCCGTGTTGTTGCTATCGGGAGGCGAATGCAAAAAGGTAGCGCCAGGTTGAGCGGTCGTAGGGTTTTTGGTGTTGGTATCGACAGGCGCAGTCGCAACGACCGTATCTTGAGAATGTGGTATGGCAGCGACAGCAATGCCAGCGTCGATCGACGTGGACGTCGACTCCGACATGGTGGGCGATCACGTCGCAATCAGCGACGCTGCCATTGAGGGAGGAATTCTGAATTTCGGGTCCGTTTCTCGTTGCGGCGTAGTACAGACGATTGAAAATATCGATGCAGTGAAAAGAATTAATTACTCTGTCAAAATACTTTTGCGCTGGAAGTGTTGAGTACAACGGACGAAAAGGGCGTGAGCGCAGAGTTGGAAAGTGGTACAGTGGGTGAGAACCTGAGTCTGAGTGGCAGGTAGGTACAACTTTACTGAAGTTGGTGGTCAGAAGGGCAGGTGATGCGGATTGAATTGTTAGCGGGCGAATGAGATGGCTCGCTTGGAAGTATCTTCTTAGCTTATCCTCGGTAGGCGGTACCTGTAGGCCTCGTACTGTGCTAAGATTTCAACTTGGGCTAAATGCAAACGGAAGAAACAGGGCAGGGAGCCGCAAGGGGTAAGAAAATATCAGACTTTAATATCAGGTGTTAAAATAAGCTCAGCAAAAGGTATCCTAAATTTGTGTCAATCTGCCCAAGTTATTTTGTCATCCCGGATCAAGGTCCTGAGTTTTCTTTCCTCCACTCCTCCAGGAGAGGTACCTCCCTCCTGGGCCCGCTAAACACGCATCATTCGATTTCGGAGGTTTCCATCATCATCGTAAACTGGCCCCCTTTTTACAAACGCATCAATTTTTTCTTTGGAGGGTGTTGGCATAAGCAGGGCGAAATATCTAATTGACTATTGACTATTGAACTATCGAGTACCATAACTGATGGTGGTCTCTTATTTGATACTGAAAATGTTGTGACTTGTTCTGTTTTCTTGACGCACACATAGGCTTTGTTATGCATTGTTTAAAGATCTTCCATCTGATGCAGCTTGATCAGATTGATAAGATTGGCATCTGAAACCAAGGACCCAAAAGCTGGGGACATCGCCCACTACCGATTATCCTGGCCTGGCTTTGTCCCACCTTACGTAGGCGACATTAGCTCACGAGCACCTCACCCCCATCTGTGGTCCCCTGCTTCAGGGCTGAGTTAAGTGGTTGTTAGTTGCTGTTGCCATGGCTCCGCTTCGTTCTTCATCTTTAACTCACTATATTGTGTTGTTCCACCCGAACAGCTCGTAGTGTCTATGTCTTGCATATGCATCCCTACATGTAAGCTATCATGATTCGCTCGAGTTGACCATTGAGGGTTGTCACTTGAACAGATACTTCCATCCCGACGTCGAGGCTATTGTATGACAAACTCAACTTGATCCATTGTTCCATTATATTTCCACAGCACGTTCTATCTCACCTTGCGGCCTCCTTTGTGTAGTGTTTATCTTGGTTCCTTGAATATTTGACTGACACACCAGCGACGGGACTATCGGAGGAGATATAGCTCTTGAAGCTTTCTCCTTTGCTCTCCCCCACAAACCGCTTCTAGACTCCATATGGAGATTCTGGTTCATTGTTCTCAAGTCTTCGTAGAAGTGCTCATGTCTTTGTTCGTAGTCAACCACTGACGGTATTCTCGAGCTGCGCTCCTTTCCCCATAGTAAACTGCTGATCAAGTGTGCCAGCCGAGAACTTATCTGGTAACTCACAAACGGTATCACTGCGATAGCCTTTGCGCAAATATGTGATGGATCGACTGTCACTAGTTGTCCATGAGACTGAGCTTTAGTCTCCTTTGTTGAGACGATGGGGTTGATGACTAAAAGTGAAGAAAGAGTCCACTTCCGTGCCTTATCGTGCATGATATGATCGCGAGCTAAGAACCTGGAGGGTGTAGACGCCGACGAATTACTCCATCGTGATACAGTCAAGTTAGTAAGTCACACAACACATGTGTATTACATATTTATTTGAAGGGCCTAAACTGCTCACCTCTGTTGGTCCTTGGCTAGCCAATTGGTCACATCATCAAAGTGGTAACCCTAGTCAACTCGTTATTCTGTGTACTGTCTTCATTTACTCAAGTCACAGCTCGGCCACTCTTGAGTAGACTTTGAAATTGGTTAACAAGACATGCCAGGAGGGTAGCAATCCTCATCCCCGGGCTCCGAGCTTGTTGTATCAGGTCTAAGACAGGAGCGCTAGATGTTATTCATGAAGACGGTGCTTCATAGATTTAAAGACACTCTTCATACTCTGAGCCAGATTATTGGTCCGGATCCGAATGGGCTGGTATCGAGCCGACATATTTGTTTGGCTGCAGACATTGCACAAAATCTGATAGACTTCCAAAAATATTTGTATTAAACATTCATGCGCTACAGACTAATCGTGGAGGCTCAACACCAGTGTGCCTTGTAACGAATCATCGTATCCTACCTACTAGGTATGCAATTTGTATTTGTCAAATATTTTATGTGTATTCCTCAAAGCTATCTCGGGTTACCAATATATAGAAAAGGCTTCGGGTCATTCTTGTGTACCCAATGCCAACCAAGTTCGCAGTTGCACTAAGCCACACCAGGGGGTGAGTCTCCGTACCTCTAAGTCGCGATAGTACATGGATACAAATGGATGTAGTAGGAGACACTGAACATCTCTCACTCATAGAGTGACTGATTATAAAGCTGTGCTCAGCGACACAAATAAGTCACTGCAGGAAGTCAAAATACTTGTCAAACGCCAACCGGATATCAAGGAGTTGGTGTTGGGCCCATGTTAGTCACTTACAAGTGCCGTCGGTGGGCGCAACTAACTCCGAGCTGGCTTCAAGACAACTGACGTCAATATCCTGTTTTACCAAAACATATTCTTCGTATCAAAGAATTAGATTTGGCCTTCTGCTACCGTAGCCCTGTCTTACTCTCTGTCACGAGGATGACCTTCCATTGCGCGACCTGCAAACCCCGCCGTAGTAAGCATTCTCTTTACGGATAGATCTGCGCAGTCAGCGGTCAAAGCCAAGCCAAAAGCGAGCCTTGAGTCTCGGTACTTTTTATCACGAATGAATCAGTTCCTTGGCTGTTTAAAGTCACTGACTCAATATATCTTCCATCGAGATCTTGATCATTGCAATTGACACCGGGCTTATCGTCTTCCCAGCCACCCCTATCCGCTCACATTCACCCCGCACTCAGCACTATCTTGGCCCTTTTTAAACTTACAGCATCAAAGAAGCTGGGCTGCATCCTTTAGCTCAGCCATTGGATGGCATCATGGTGAGCTGACCTATCTCATCACTTGCCGGCCCTCCATGGCTTTATCGTGCCCCCCCGCCCGCTTCCAATGCCAGCCTTGTTGGAGGAATGCCAATGGAATGTTGCGAGGAGTTTCTGTGCCGCTGTGACTAGGCGTTGGCTACTTGTACATGAACCTCGGTCGTGTTAGAGCTGCATCAGGCGTTGGGTGGATGGATGACGGTCAGTTGCAGGTAGCTGCAGCTTGTTCTACCATAAGCTACCTACCTATCTATGGCCCTCACCTCTTTTGAGCTGAGCTGGGTCTTTGCCTCTCTTCTCTTTCAATTGCCTCTCACCTCTTCTTGGTGAAGGAAGAGCTTCGCCTTGATTATCTACCTATAGTTGACCTCCCACTGTATTGTCGTAAAAGACACAGCCCTAAATATGATCGTGTTCAAGCTCTTCGCAGCTTTACCTCTCGCCCATGGCGTTATTGCACAATCCGCCGGCACTGGAGAAAAGGTCTGGGCTGCCGTCGCATTCATCAACCATGGCGAAAGGACACCCGTAATAGCCAATCTTCGTACCGTATTGACACCTGAGGGAGCTCAGCAGATGCTGCGACAAGGCACTGCATTCCGCGCTCGATATATTCCAGACGGTGTGAACAACTCCGACTATCAGAGCATTCAAATGGCTTATCTCCAGAATCTCAAGCCCGATGTGATTGACAACGACGACATTGACATCATTACTCAGACAGATGAATGGGTATCGACTGGTGCTCTGGCCTTTATGCAGGGCTTCTATCCGCCATCACCAAACGCATTTGACAATAGCACTGGAGGCGAAGAGATTGCCGTGAACCTGGCTTCTAGCGATAACAAGACTGAATATCCGCTAGACGGATATCAATACCCCAGTATTCGAGCCCCTGGTTATTACGATCCAGAATCAACAGCGTATGCTCATTGACCTCTCCCTACCTCAATTTGACTAATAAAATACAGACTACAAGGCACTTATAGATGTTCAGCTTGGCAGACAGAGATCACCACAAACCTAACGCAGGAAAACGGGCTCGACGAGCTCTATGATTCAACTCTGCCCTTCTATCAAAACCTCTTCTCTACTGCTCCATTTGATGGCACAATTGACATTGACTACGCCAATCTCTGGAACGCATACCAGCTCTGGGAATTCGTCGATTATCAGTATCGACACAATGAGACTGTCCACGAGGGGCTCAAAAACGCAAACTCAACGCTGTCTTTTCTGAACACTTACGCCTTGTCGATAGAGCGCGCACAAAACAGCTACCGCGGCTCAGACGACGACAGCGAACTTGGTGCTCTCTACTCTGTCGCCGGCCGAACCATGGCGTACAAAGTCGCATCGCAGTTCAGGAGCAACATTCGCTGGGGAAGCAGCTACAACAAACTCACACTCATGTTTGGCTCTCTCGATCCCATTGTGAGCTTTATTCAACTCTCAGGTCTTGTCACCCAAGACAACATGTTTCAAGCGCCTTGGTCAACGCTCCCCAAGCCTGGCGCAGCATTGGTCTTTGAGCTCTTTGGCGAAGATCCAGATGATCCTGATAGGCAGCCATCCACGGATAGTCTTCGTGTGAGAATGTCCTACCGTGCTTCAGCAGACGCAGACGAGTCTTTCCAGAACCAGCCCATCTTCAAGTCTGGTCCTGATGGTATCGCATACTCGAGTTTCATACAGACTATGAATAACCTTGGAATATCACCTAACCAGTGGTGCGACGTCTGTAGCCCGACACCTGCTCCTTGGTGCATCACCGTCGACTCGGATGGCTCTAACTGGGGAGATGACTCTTCAATTGGGCCAGTCATCGCAGGAGTTATCGGAGCAATCATTGCAATCGCTGTTCTGGGTGTTCTACTCCTTTGCCTGTGTGTCTGCGGCGGTCTTCGGCTACGTCGTAAGGGTCCTGAAGAGTCAACACACAGTGCCGCTGCTGTAGGGGCTACCACAGGAGGCTTCAAGGGTCCAGAAAAGAAAGATGGCGATGCGGATGTCGTGGTGACAAAGCAGGGCATTCACCATGAGCGCGTCGGTAGCTGGGAGCTCCGAAGTCCAAGCGAAATACCTCCTCAGACTTCTGGAATCGTGACCAAGGACATGGGATCTCCTCCTCAGAGACGATCGTTGGATGACAGTGACGACGATATCAGCGTCATGAATGCGGCACCAGTGAAGGCTCGCGAGAGTGTTTGAGTAAGTAAGGGCGAGTGGACAGGTAAACTATACGGAGGAACTTGCATGCATGGTTATACCCTTTGATTCTTACAATCGTTCGAGCTATTGATACCTACTTGGATGGATTTTATAGGCGTTGGTATTGGCGAATTTGCATATACACTCGTTTGAAGACGTTGATCATTGGCCATATGTGGCATAAACTGAAAGGACTGTTACTATACAACAGGTAGTTCGACTGAACTGAGACTATCACTTGAATACAGACCGAGTTTGGACATTTTATGAAGGGTAAATGGTCGGATGCCAAGATCGATATCATGATTGTCCTTGGAATAAGTATCTTTGGACACCTTCGTTTAGTAAAATGACAGATAATGGATGTTTATCCTAGGGGTATCTATATCTCACACGCCTCACACAATAACAAATTCCTCCTCTTCAACCCCATCAAGGTCAAAAACCTCCCCATTCATCATCCCATGTACATAGCACTCCCCGACAAGTATCCACGTCCCATCATCCTTTCTTCTCAGTAAGAACGGTGTTCTACCTCCATACAACACAACAACCACATCTTCAGCTTGCATAATATCCGGCCCAACAACAAACCATCCCCCAAAAGTTATCGCAAAACCCCGATATCGCGTAACAAGCGTTGCTTCATGGCTCCACTTGAACCCATCTCCCGTCTGCGCAAGCTCTTGTATCTCTGGTGAAACGGCACCAGGTTTATCCAGCGCGCGAATAAGATACGCTGCACCGTTCGCGAGCCATTCTTCCTTGGGAATACTCTCATATGGCCGTGAGCGATCTGCTCCGATACATGCGTTCGTGAGTGTTTGCACAAGGGCGAAGAATGCTGAGTCGCCGTTTCGATAGCGTTGTCGTAGGTTGAAGGGTTGGTTTCGACCACAGATATCTCGCCATAAGGCCTCGATGGGGAGGCGCAAAGGGTTGTTGCGACGGAAGTGAAAAGCGTTATTCCAGAAAATCCACGATGGTCGACGGATACGATCCAAGCGAACACCGTAGATGTGAAGAGCTCTTGTTTCTTCGTTGATACATAGTTGAGGGCGATACTCTCCTGATGATCTATGAGGAGTCACGGGGGTACCCATGAGGTGCAGAGGCACAACCCGCCAGTCGGGGACCCAAGTCGGTAGATCTCCCCTCTCCATAATTCGTTTCTTGTAAGTAACCGGTATAGCATGGCAAGCGGACAAAAGCAGAAGCGATTCGCACCCGGAGAGTTCTCTGACCGCGACGTCATAATAGATATCTTCTATCGATCTGCTATAATCCGCCACCAACTCTGCAAGGCTCGAACTACCAGTGTGGATGGAGAAATGGCCAAGAAAAGCGTAGACATGGTCTCGAGGGTCCTTAGATAAGAGATGTCTTGCGCGGTGAAGTTCGTATATGAAGGCTGCGCGGTTATGGTTGACATCGTATGCCTCCTCTGGCTCAACGAAGCGTTGATATAGATACCGGATGTTGGGTGTGAAGACAGCAAATCGTGAGCGTAGGAAGTGGTAGGTCGTATTCAAGATGCCTGCAACTGACGATAGTACCTCCCAGTCGATCTCTGCATCGCCCCAGTAAAGAGTCGCTGGTGCTGCTGTTCCTATTTCCTGAACAATCCATATACGATTGAACTATTCTCGTCAGTATAAGGCTATTCAGTGTCTCTCATAAAACTCACCCATGGCAGTCTCGATAGATTCGAGAACGGCACCCAAGGTTTTCTATCCTGGCTCAACAAATCTTCTGAATGAGCTCTTTTGAACTCGTTATGTAGTTCTTCATCATTAAACACTCTATGAAGGTAGTGAACCATCTCCATAGCCGCCTGCCCATGCCCTACCTTGTCTTCTCCGAGCCATACCAACACATGCTTCGCTCCCTTGTAGATAGCATTCATCAGACTGACTTGCTGACTTCGTTCGGCAATATCATCCTGGTTGATGCAGACTTGATCCGCCCATAAGCGTCGCTGGGTAGTTGCATGTCTCATACGGCGTAGAGCACCCTCAATGCTCTCCGTTAATGGCAGCGGTTTCCCATCGCATATAATCTCAGAGGATCGACCACCTGTGCCCCAGCAATATGAGATGGCTTCATATTGTGGGTTGAGATCAAGATTCTCAAAGCCGAGGTGGCCAACTAATGGGTCATTGCCCGTACCAGGCTCAAGAGTGAGAATGCGGATTGTAAAGTTATTCGTGAATGGTGTATAGGCGTATGACTCTGGAGCTGTTGGTTCTGATGGCTGGACAACACCGGCCATGGATGATAGCAAAGACACAGTCGAGCAATGAGACTTGGTTCTGAGAAGAGTCCTAGAATGAGATGTTGAACGTTGATGGTGAGAAATGCCATGCAGACCGAAACTTGAAGGCCCAGTTCTTTTAGATCGCTTTCGCGAAACCTCAACCGACGGCGTGGATTTAGTTTCTTTGTAGATCGTCAAATCACCAGCATGAGTTCTTTTTCGCAGAGCACGTCGACTCCATAGTCGCACTGGAGATGTAGACTTAAGGGACATTGCAATTATCACTGAACCAGAAAAGGAATGATACGGTACTTAACAGAACCAACAAGCGGTTACTAACATGCAACACAGCCACTCGCCATGGTTCTTTTGCGGAGATCCATGCAGCCATTCTTTACAGACAGCAGTAGGTCAGCGCTAATGTCACGTTATAGATGCAAGAGGTTATGCAGGGCATAGCACATCACGTAGGAAATGGGACAGATCATGGCCTTCAATGTTTAATATGTGATATCGAGCGGCGGTAGGCCTTTCTATCTAACTATACACAACTTTCCTGTGTCATCAATCGTTCCAAGTAGGAGATAAAAACAAAATAGATAATGCGGTAACACCTCGCATGGGCGATTCATCCTTTGTGCCAGTAACGCCTAATCCCATCCCAATCCGCTGGGAATCCCAAAAGTTACAAATAAGAAAGTAATGAAGCGCTTAGTGCATGTCCTTTTCCCATTCCCCACAGTCCATTAAACCACTCTCTACAGGTCCATGGTAAGAAGTTCTAACCTCGATGTAACAGCGTCACAGCTCGCGCTGATACGTTGCACGCGAGCCATGGCCAAAGCAGCGATATATTCTTCCTCACCGGCATCGACAAGTTCGAGACGGGCAAGTACCTTTTCGGACTCAACGCCGCCAAAGATGTCAACGTGCGATAGACCCTCAGTATCAAACTCCTTGGGTTGCTCACTGGTGGTGGTAGCGGTCTCAGTATGGAACAGTGCGAATTCAGGATCAGACTCAAACTCAAGATCAATAGGGGCGGCGTCAATGGGCTCAGAAACCTCGGGCTTCTCGACAGGGCGCTCAATGGTGGGCACCTCAAGCTTCTCCTCCTCGGAGTCGAAGATGGGCTCAGCGAAGTTGGAGGTCTTGCCAGAGAGAACAGAAGCGTCAATAGCATCAGGAAGCTCAGGAGTATCGACAACAAAGACCTGAGGCTGGAAGTTGAAAGAGCCATCAAGAGTGAGCATGGAGAAGTCCATGTTCTGCTCAGGGATCATAGCCATGCCAATCTGGTGCTGAGAAGACTGCTGAGCGTTGTAGGGGTTGATGTCCTTGGGCACCTGTCGCTGCTCAGGTTGAGGCTCGACCTTGAGCTGAGGAGTCTGCTGAACAGCGGTAGGGTTGCTGCTGAGGTTGTCCAAGAAGTTGGAGAAAGAAGGCGAAGAGAGAAGCATGCGGGTGAGGTCAGTCAGACGCTTGTTCTCGTCCACGAGAGCACGGTTCTGAGCGCGGAGGTCACCGTTCTCGCTGACCTTGTTGGCAATCTCAGTCTCAAGCTGAGTGATGTATTCTGAGGCATTGTTAGCAAACGGCTTCGATTGATCGTCGCGGAGAAAACTTACCCTTTCTGCGGGAACGGAAAGCGCGAGCGGAGACCTTGTTGCGAAGCTGTCGTCGCTCCTTGCTGCTGAGCTTCTTGCCCTCCTCGCTAGCCAAGAGGCGCTCATCCTCATCCATCTCCTCTTCGTCCTTCTTGGATCGGGGAAGGTTGGCCATGGGGCTGGTAGCCTGGCTCTCAGGCATTGAGGGCTTGGCTCGCATAGAGTTCAGGAGCTGAGTAATCTTCTGCTCAACAATGGGGTCGGTAGGCTGAGGGGCCTTGCCACGAGACTTGGGCTGCGATGCCTGGCGCTGAGCCTGTTGTTGCTGCTGAATGATCTGCTGCTGCTGTCGCTGTTGTTGCTGAGCCTTGACAAGAGCGGCTTGGGAGTGAGCACCAGGCCAGAGACGGCCGTTGTTCTGTGTGGGCAAAACGGGTGGTGAGGGAAGGCCAGCGTTCTCTTGCTCGATGCTGCTAGGGTCGACAGTGAAAAACTGTTGCGTCTCGGTCTGCGACTCGAAATCCATATCCATATCCGAAGCACCCAAAGTAGCCTGCGAAGGAGATGTGTTGAAATCAAACAGATCAGCCTCGGGGCTGAAGGTGGTTAGGTAGTCGATGTTGCGGAAGTCTTGGTAACCAGTGTTGTTCGTCTGGTTAACGGCCATTGTGTTGGCGATGGCACCGGGCACAAAGCCAGTCTGTTGTCGGTACATGTCATAGTTGTGACTGGGGCCGCTCAAGCTCTGGGCAGTTGTGGTGGCGGGAGCAGCGACAGCGGCTGAGATAGGGCTCGCGAAGGTAGCCTTTGATGTTCCTGATGGTGATACTGAAGTAGCAGGAGATTGGAAGTTATCGTACTCGGTAAGATCGAGGAGAGCGTCGATATCGACGGTATTCTGGCCAGGACCCGACATGTTGTTGTATCAGTTCGGCGATACCGGAGGATGTAGTGTTTGATATGAGTAAGATTGAATTCGTCGCCCAAGTGATGATCAGTGGAAGACTCGAGTATTGTCGCGATAAATTTTGTCTGTTGTGTTTATCTTGCTTAGAAGATCGTTGAAAAGTAATGGTTGTTGAGAGATGGAAGTTCTGTAACAGAAGCGATTGTTTGGAAGTTGAGAAGGGGAAAGATGGAACCAGGCAGAAAATCGGGAACTGGGGAGGGACCGTGTTCTATGAATGGGGTGGGTGCCTTGGTCGGCGGTACGTACCCGCCGGGTCCGACAACATGATCCCCCGGTGTGTCAGGGAGGGAGAAACTGGTGAAAGCCACTGAAGCCCACTTAGGTAATCCACTATAAACATGCTCAAGGCCCCCAACTTCAGGGACTCGGCCCCTGAATTGATTCCATTCGAGCGCTATGAACCGCTAGATCCAGGTCTCTCTGTCAGGTAACGCCGGCCGTTGTCAGGGCTGACCAGGGAGCAGGGATAGATCGGCGGCCGGGAATCCGACTAGTGAGGGAGAGGAGCGAGGACGCGTCAGCTCTTTTCTTGGGTTGTGCAAGCCAAGGGTGGGAGTCAAGGGCCAAGGAGGTGGATAACTCATTGAGGCAGCGCCGTAACTCTAGAGGCCAATCAAGATGCGCCTCTGACGACCGAGCCTCTCAGAGACAGCAGCGAGCGTATCCCTGTTTCGCCGTCCGAGGGGGTGCGGAGCGAACAAGGTGCGAGTCTTGCGAGAGTCTAGCTCCAAGAAGAGAGCGAAACGAACGACCAGAGACGTCTGCGGCCTGAGGATGACGACGCTCAACTGCCCCTTTGGGACAGGCTTGGTGCCAAAAAGCCCATGATGGAGGCATGGCGCTGGTCTTTTTGGCTCCTCAGAGTCTCATTGCTCGTCTTTGGCTGCGCTTTTTCGTATGCATTTCTGGTCCACAGTCGACTTCACCTGCAGATGCACCTACGAGCTTACGTCTCTCATCCTCTGAGGCTTCGTGGCCTGGGCTCAATATGGTCAAGCCTCAGGCTGATTATTCTTCTGCCTACGTCTGAATACCAACGTCCCCTCCTGTTTGAGGTTATCAAGCTTGATGCAGACAAAAGCACGGCTAGATAATTCCTCCGGCCAATAGTTCTGGTACGGCTCAATGTGATAAGGGGAGATCAATCTCATCGTCACCGTTAAATCCGGCGGCTGCTCCAACCGGACGGCAAAGCGGCAGCCCATCGCTATCGGTTATCATGGCTTGCTGGAATGCTCGTCAGCAACTTGCTACAAGAAGCTGTGTGAACTCTGCAGACAAACAACAAATGCATACCAGCCAATTCACTGATCAGCGTTGGCGGGTGCTGAAACCTGTCTTCCGTCCGACCCGAGCGTGGCTGTACAAAACAATAGAATTGTGCCCTTACACTGGCTGGTATGCTTTCCAAAGCTTGTCTCCTGCTTCCAGAGTCCACTATTACGATGCTCAAGTATAGATGCAGCTACTTTTCCTCTAGCGATGCGTTGCCAACTCAGATCATCAGGGAAGAAACGCTGATATGATTCATTTCCCTTGATTCTTGCTCATTTCAATAAGAAATGAACAGACAAGGCCTTGCCTTACCGTAAAGACATTGCGGGGATGACCATCTCCATCAATATCATATATCGATTGCACTGCCACCGCCCTCATATCCCAAAATCCCACCACCCCAAGCACAGTCCATTTCAGAAGCCTGAAGAGTCCCCGAGTTCATCCCACCGTTCACTTTTCCTCTTCTGCTCTACGCTGCGCTGCGTCGCTGCTGGCTGCTCCATCTCTCATTGCTCGCTCTTTATTCCTGTTTGCTCACTGTCATCTACTGTGCCACGCTGCTATAATCGTGTAAACCCACACAGCCATATCAGCGGGCACCCATTGGGCTGTGTCATCAGAGTTGGAGTCTTGGCTTCCCAAGTAAGCTCAATGATCGTCGTTCTTGAGATGGCTCGAACCACTCATCTTCTCTGGTGGTTTCCGTCGTACCACAAAGAATGACATCGGGTGTTAATAACGCCGTTATGCCGTTGCCGGACTCTAGATCTTGAAGGCACCGAGTAATCTTTGGCGTTTACAGTGCTGCTAGTATCCGTACGGAACGGATCTGTGTTGACATCCAAGCCTCAAACCCGGGTTGTTTTTTTCGCCACTCCTCAACCAATGAGTGTTGGATTCCCGTGACAAGACAAACCGATCGACAGTCTCGACAAAAATAGAACTTCCCAGTTTGTGGTCGCCCTGGCACTGGCTCAACTGCCGCCCTGATTATCTTCTCCACTGCCCCTGACGATGATGGACAATGACACAAGAGAATACGGCGTTTGCCGTTATTATGAGTTTCATCCAAAACGCTTTGCTATGCACCAACCGAGACCTGTTTCACAAAACGACGGTTCTCCTTTCGTCGACAGTGGTTCCGTCACTTCATCCCACATACCGGAAGCCTCGAACAAGCTTTGGCTAGGGGGTTTTGCCGTGGCGGGAGTCTCGAATTATAGTCGATCGACTGATTATCGGTACCAGGCTTGAAACATCTGGTTCACGTTACGGCTCGAGAATTTACCCCTTTTGGGTTTATTCTTTGAGTGTTCAACCATCTACGATTTCTGATCTGAAGTTCTTGATTCAACCTTGTGCCAAGACTTCGCTTTCGCTTTACTCAGATCTAATACAACTGCCGGCGGTGATGAGAGCTTAATCTTGACGATCCTGGCCAAAGAAGATTTTAGCATTGATTAAATTTCAATTTTCGCATGGTTTAAAGAGCACAGCCCATGCAATTAGCCACCTTGGTATGCTGGCCTCGACATCGCCTAAAGTTCTGAACTTTTCCAGAAGCTAGATCATTAGCGACTCCAGTTCCAAACCGCAAGCACATAGCCTCTGCCAAGACCGTGATAAGGTAAGAGGCAATGAGGCTTGAAAGTTGTCTTTGCTGTAATAAAAATAGCTCCATGTGAATGAATATTGCTTGCGCCTCAATGAACTCGAGATCGAGACGGATTCAAGGTCACATGTTGCATCACGTGTGATATATCACATGACCATGAAATTGGTTAGCACGTGATTGGCTCCGTGAGACAGCCTGCCTCTAGTTTCAGCCTCTTGAGGCCATCCATCAATGGCCCCATTCGCCTGCATCTGCATGCATTTGGAGAACGTCGTCGGAGCCTTACGTCCTACAACCGTGCGCGCCCAACTGCACTCGCGCCTGAACAGTCGTGTCTGACATATTCCTCGCCCGGCCAAAGTGTTAACTGGAACGCGCTTATCGGTTTGTATATACCGTTTCTGTCTATCTATCTGTGCCTTGTTGCGACTCGTGAAAGATTGAAACAGTTTCGGCCGTCACATTTCGTTGTTGCATCGCATTGCATAGCATAGCAGAGTATTGCGCAGCATCGCTCGCATCGCGACAGCCTATTCTTTTTTGCTTGTGTTCTCCAACTTTAAAGATACGGTTACCATCCAAGCTTGCACTTGCAAATAGGTACTGCAAAGAGCATCATCCTCTGCAAGCATATCGCGTTCTACTAGGCCTCAGAAGGTCCTATCAAGTTGCTATTTCAGTTCCCTCATCCGAACATATCAACTGAAAATCTATCACTCGCCACTATGGTAAGCTGACCATAGCCGTACAAAATGGGGAGAGAAAAACGAAACCTGCCCGCGGCTGTGGCAGGTGGCCCAAAGGAGAGGCATAGACGTGCACAAAGATCTCAGTATGATCATACAGCACCTGTTCCCCCTGGCTTTGTTGCCAAACCAGCTCTTCCAAAGACAACGAAACATCACTCGTACTTCGAGTTTGTTGAAAACAAGGACAAGAAAAAGAAGCTTGAATTCCAGGTATAATGCGATTGTTGCGCAACGAGGTCATCACAGCACTCACCACCATGTATAGATCACTACAAAGAAAACACCCCCTCCTGGTTTCGAGTTTGTCCCTGCCGGCAACCCTGAACTAACTCAAGCATGCAAAGAACTATCCCGAGAAAAAGATGCCATGATATTTATCGTATCGGTATGCAAAACATAGATGTATTGGTCTCAGCCGTCTGTTACTAACCTCGCCACATGAAGAACGCAAAAGAAGCATCCGGCTCAAATATCTTGGCTCACCAAGTCCATCGCATTGGACATCATGTTAGAGAAACAATCGTCGAGGAAGCCCGCGCGGGTCTAGGGCATGTCATGGAGAACATGCTTGCAGCCGCTTGCGGTGTTCCCGAACCCATCCCCGAATCTCAAGAGGAATACGATGCACAAGTTGACGCTGCCTTACGCGATCTGTTTCCCAGAATCCCAAACACCGATCGACGGATGATCATTGAACATGCTTTCAGACGTGTTTGTCCCCCTCCCTAACACCTTCATACAGACAAGGTATTTATTATTATAGGATCCAACCAACAAAAACAACAAGGAAAAAGTAGGCCTTTCGGAAGACATAACACTCGCCCGAAGGGTTCAACTTGCGGTCCTCGCTCACATTCGTCATACTCACACAAGGTATGACACTCTGCTAAGGGAGACCACATGGCAGAATGCTCGCAAAGTTGTTGAGGCCCTTTGTTTAGACACCCTCGTCAAGTGGCGAGGAGATGAGGAGAGCGGTCGGGACCAGCTGGATGAGATATTGAGGGAAGTCGTTGTGATTTCCGACTCAGAAGGTGAGGAATCTGGTAACGAGTCCGACTCATCAATCGAAGAGGTTGTGCATCAGTCTACAAATCCCATTCCCAGCAGGCCTGTACAGAATGTCTCTGGCCAGGCCGGTCCCGGTCACCACCAGTCTCCCAGACTTAACCAGGGCCCACGAACACCTGCCACGCCAAAGCCAAAAGGAAAGGTGAAGAAAACAAAGCGTAAGACATCCGCCGAGAAGAAAGGACAGCGCGGATTCAAACGGTACCAAGCTGCTTGGCAAGAAGCCATTGACAGAAGCCGCAATGTACAAGAGCCAGCTCCCCAATCTCCCCAAGGGCCCTCCCCTCAGTATACCCGTGGTCAGCCGCCGCCTAAGGCTCTGGTTCCCTTGGGCAATGAGTTGCCTGCTCCATCCCAGCTCAGAATTGTTTCTGGAGGTGCGGGACCTGCACCTTATGAGAACGGTTATGTTGGGAAACCTCAGTATCCTGCAAATGGCCATTTTATAAGCTCGGGGCCACAAGTTGCCCGCAAGGTAAAGTCACCATTTTATGACGCGCCAGCTAGCGCTCATCCGCCTGTGTCGAGAGTGGCCGATCGATTACAGGATATGTTGGTGCAATCCATTGAGCCAGCGTCTCCTGATACTATGAAACCGTCCTTTGTGCGTGCAGTACCCCCACGGGGACAGGACTTCAGAAATGAGCCCCCTATGACCACCAGTATGCAGCATCCAGTTATCATATCTTCTCCATTGCGAGGCCCTCCTGCAAGAGGCGAGCCCATGGAATTATCACGACCTGTAATGGGTGAACCGTTGGTTCATGGAGATAGGCCCTACCAAACCTCTGGCCACAATCCGTCACCACCCCGTGGTCACATGTTCGATGCCCCTGCGCATCACTATAATACCAGATCTCAAGGAATACCTGCTCCTCCGGCTCCTTTGGATCCTTCACATCGTTATGGTACAAGATCGCATGGAATACAGAACAACCCAGCGAGGATTTTAGTAAGTCGTCGGCCATATGACGAGCCACAAAGACCGGGAATTCGTGACACCCCTGTTGTCATGGAAGATCGTGGTGGATTCTATGAACGAGTTCCGGTTCATTCAGC